GACCCACCGGTGTCCAAAGGTTCGCAGTTGTGAGGCTCCTTGCCCTGCCCGTCTCTGGCTAGAAATCCCTCCCCCATTCAGCTCTGCCTGCCCACGGGGCTGGCAGACTTGCTGGGCCCCTGAGCAAAGCAGGGAGGCGGTGGGGGGCTTAGTGCTCTGGGATAAGACAGGGCTGGGGGACAGCCAGCCCTCAGCACCGCCTGGAGCATGACATGCCCTCTCCCTCCCCAACCTTCAGAGCCAGGCACAGTGGCACTCTTGCAGCAATTCAAAGGGGGCCAGGGTTCTGGGTACCACCACTACCATTGTAGCAGAGGCAGCAGTCAGAGTCCTGGGCTCCTTTGAATTGCTGGCCCCTGGGACGACAGCCCCCTTTGCCCCACCTCTGTCAGCAGGACTGTTTCTGTACAGTAGCTTATATGTGTCTCAACAATTCTTCACTGCACTTACCTAAAAATATGTACGTTTCCCCCGTCTATACTGCTTAATTTCTCTGTGCTGTTAGCTATAATTTAGCACTGTACCTGTATTGCTTAACTCTGTCAATTATGCTCAGATGTACTTTATATGAAAAATAGACTACACAATTGTATTTGCCCCAAGGCTATTTGACCTCTTTCTAGAGAACAGCCTCATTTATGCCAAAGTAAATCCAGAGTACGTTGACATAATTGAAGTTACTTCATATTTACACCAGCATAACTGATATCAGAATCTGGCCCCAGACACCCTGTGACACTTTGCAAAATGAATGTCATTATTACCATTTGTCATGGAAGGAAAAGGGAATCTGTATCTTTTGAAAATGCAGCTTAACTCTCCCACATTGATTAGTTCAGTATGGTTCTCTTTTCTGTCTCATTCCAGCAGTGATTTAACAAGCACGTGGCTCCAGCTGCTGCTGCCTTGGTAGCAGCAGCCAGAAGCCCCGAGCCCTTTGGAATCCCAGGCCCCTGGGCAACTGCTCCCTTAGTCTGCCCCATTGGCAGGCCTGAGTATCCATCCCTAAGCACAGTTCCCATCACACAGGGACCTGGAGGAGATTCACAAGAGAGGCTGCGAGTGGCCAAAAAACAGACAAGAGCTTTGGGAATCCACTTGCCTTTGAGCATCTACATCTTTTCCCCACTTAGCAGCTGTGATTCCAGGCACCAGAATAAAGAATTCCTGGGCTGGAGAAGGGTGGGAGGAGGGAAGGAAAGAGCACTGCTCAGAACTGGTCTGTGGAACTCACCGCCACAAGAGATCACTGAGGGCAAGAACTTGGCCAAATTCTACCAGGGCTAGACACTTACTCAGCTAAATGAAACATCCAGGGGTCTGCTGGTCAACCCTGGAGCCTGACTGGTTTGCCCAGGAGGATTTCAAGAACAGGCTCCTCAGCTGCTCCTGCCCTCTGCTGTGGACAAGGAGCCACCGTCTTGCTGTTCAGAGGAAGGCAAGGCAAGGGGGGGCACTGACGTCAGGGGGTCCCCCTTTCCCTGCGCTCGTGCCCCATCTCCAGAGCGGGGCATGACAGAGCACAGCTGCTGACTGCTCCTGTCTGACCGTGCTCAGCGTATTTTACACACACACACACACTGACCCAGCACACACACACACACACACACACACACACACACTGACCCAGCACATACTTGCGTTGCTCTTACTCCTTTCCAAGGGTTGGACTGCTCTGTGTATTCCAGAATTTTTATTTCTCTTATGTTTAAAATTAATTCTTTGAGCAGTGAGCTCTAAAATGCCTGACCCGTCGCAGCTGGAGTAATTATCCGAATGATCATTTTTTTTGAAATATCTAGTGTAGTGAGGGGTTTGGTTCCCACTGGTGGTGCACATCCCCCATTACTTCAACAACAAAATTAATTCCGCACATGGGTGGAAACAATTGGAGGGAAACAGGCTGGGAGTCTCCTGCAATCAGGCTCCATCTCCTGGAGGCTCCTGCAGCCAAGCTGGGACAGCCGCACACAGTCCAGCAGTGCAGGGCTAAGGCAGGCTTTCCCCAGCCCCGGCCCTGCACCATTCCTGCAAGCAGCCTGCCTTAGCCCCGCTGTGCCACTGCCCTGGAGAACTCAGATACGTGGTCCCCATTCTGAACCCCTGCCCCAGTCCTGAACCCTTCCTGCAGCCCATCCCTCTACGCCAGCTCTGAGCTCCCCTGTGCCCAAACCCCTTCCCAGAGCCTCCACCCTGAACCTCCCAGGCTCAGACCAGAACCCTCTGGGCCTGACCAGAGCCTGCACCCCAAGTCTCCACCCCAGCCTGGGGGAAGTGAGTGAGGATGGGAGGGGAAGGAAGAGCAGGGTGCAGCCTCAGGGAATGGGCGGGGAAGAAGGCAGGGCAAAGGTGTTTAAGGAGTTTGTGGTAGAACCTGGATTGCACTTGCGTTCAAAAAGTGATCTGGGTCTTTAAAAAGTTAGCAACCGTTGCACAAAACGCTAACTGCTGCCTCAGGGCATAAGCTGTAACTACTGACTGATTGACAAGAGGAGGGAAAACCTTGCCTTGTGAGTGAGCTATTTCATCATTAACCCCATGATGGGGATTAACCCCACCTCCCCCTGAAATATTTGGCAGCCGGTGCTCTTGGAGGCAAGAGGCTGGTCACTGTTTCAAGCTGGTGTCACCATTTCCATGGGACAGGAAACTATCAGCACAGAAAGTGTGTTAGACTATCACGGGAGCGAGGGCGGGGGCAGGCCAGACAGAAGAGGGCAAAACTACCTCCTCCTCTCCTTCCCTATGCCCCTCGTCCGGACAGCCCCCGCCCTGACTCTGGCCTGGCCAGTCACCTTGGGAGACTCCAGGGATGCTGCTCAGCTTCCTGCATTAAATGTTTGTTCTTAACGCTTTCACTTCTGCCCCTCGCCTCAGCCACCAGCTCCCCGCCGGGCTCTGCCCATCACAGCCCCATCTCAGCCCTGCTGCCCCTCCAGCTCCCGCCCCTCCTCTGGCAGCCCACGGTCTTGCCAAGTTTTCAAACAGGAGCTGTCCGAGGCAAAAACGGTCCCGCCATTTGCTCTGCTGAGCCTCAAATCACAACCCCTCCTTGCTCAGATTAGGGGAACCTCTTCTTTCCGCTCCCACCTCCCATGTCCCATCACAAGTAATCCACGTCACATGGCAGCCCCCTCCAGTGCCTGGCAACTCACTTCCCTTTGCAGAGACGGGCGCTCCCGACGGAGCAGGTGCCAGGAGACGAGACGAGACAAGACAGAGGGAGCAGCAACGGTACTCAGAGGTTAAGAGAACAGACGTGACCTCGATGCAGCAAAGCCGGGGGGACTTGTACAGGGATCAGAGGTGCGTGCGATGGGCAAGGGAGATGGTCTCACTAGCCCCATTTTGAATGGGCTGGCGGGAGTGGCATCAGCTCCCTGGCACCACGCAGCACCCAGGTGCAGACTCGGGCTGTGAACATGGCTGTGTAGCTGTAACAGCACTGCTGGTGCTCAGGCTCTGCAGCCTAAGGAGCAGGAGGAGCTCACAAGCAGAGCCACAAGGCCACACAGCTGTTTTTAGCATGGCAGCCGGAGCCTAGGTGTGTCAACCAGGGCACCAGGCTGTGCAGCTGGCCCCAGGGAGACCAGTGAGGAGAGGCCAGAGACCTGGGGGAAGCGCTCCCACTAGCGGGACAAAGAAACAGCCTGGACCTGCAGGTAAGGGGGTGGCGACAAAGAAGGGCCTGTGACTTTTCCCCAGACTCTCCGGCTCTGCTTTCCTCAGAACCCTTTGGTCTCCTCCCACAAGCAGCCGTGAGCGTCTCCTGCACATCTAGGACATCTTCCCAGTTCCGTGGCGCTGTCCCCACGCCCACCTCTCTCCGTGCGCTCGCACCAGCAGCGCTCCAGGGCCTCTCTTCCACAGGCCAGCCGGGCCCGGCTGGAGAGGGGAGAACAGAACACGGCGGGTCTTGTGTTTGCCTAGACTAGCACTTCTCAAGTGCGGCCACCAGGGAGTGCGGTGTCCTGGGCTGCAATTGAGAGCGTATGGGGGATAGTAGCCACCCCTCCCTCCTCTGCAGTGGGACTGGAGACACTGGCTGTGTGGGTCACTGGGGGCAGGGCCCTGCACCCTCTTGGAGACAGCTGGGGCAGAATGCTGGAAGAGCAGGCAGCTGGTGCTTCCCCCCATCCCAGGGAGGCTGGAGCTCAGACGCTGGGCCTCAGGACAGAATGCTCTGACCCCAGGACCTTAGGCTCCATCCCCACGGCTTCGGGATCCACCCCCTGGCTGCAGCCCTCAG